ACGTGAACTTGCACTTTCAATTACCGTCCATGAACAGGCTCAATCAAACCGAGCCTTTTTGTCTTTTTGGGCCTTCTTTAGGGAGTCTTATTTCTCTATTTTGACAAGACACTCCACTATTGACAGCTCAACATTTGTATCTTATAAATGTAAATGGAGTGTTAAAATTCAAAGAAGGGCAAATCCATTACATAAATTCAGTAGGGTAAGGGATATTGTCGATATTGGTTGACGCCATTATAAGCCAAGGCTTGAGAAAATGACCAATGGGATCACCGAGTATATGCATCAGATAAATTCATTCATGTCGCTATCAATTACCCAAGACTCATTCACCTATGTACATTGTACTTGAAACCATTTAGATGAAGTTTTAAAACTCAGAGTAAATCATGATTATTTTACACTATACCTAACACTGTTTTATTTCCGCCGCCTTTCTTTAGGCTCTATTTTATCTCGACCAAACTATTGCAAAATTAAAATAGTAATAATTAATTTAACAGCTCTTTTCGCACTGTATTGATCATAATCTCACAATGTTCAATTGTAGGTGCAATGAACACAACAACATGGACACCTCTGCAGTTGATTTTTGATTCTATATCACACCATTTACATATTTAGATGTATCACTTTGCGAATTGCAAACTGATTTTTGGAGTCTGTTCATGAGAGATATACTGATACGTGCAACATTTCTAACGCCCCTAGCTGTGGCTTTAGCGGTATTCAGTCCTCAAAAGTCAATGATTCCGGTGGATCAGAAAAATATAATAACACTGAAGTAAATTACGGAACAACACTTTTACTGCAGCCACACGGGCTCTGATACCTGAGTCCAGGCGCACTTTCCTGCTACAATAAGTCTACGATGAGGTAAAAGTCCAATGAGATTTATCACTTGGAATATAAAATAGAACAGAACGTGTATTTCATCTGACTTTATATCACTAGCTTATTGTCATTAACCAAAAGTATTTATATATGAATCAAGTATAATATTATAACATTTTATGCATAACATAAATCATTTGTGAGAATGCCATAAACAAAAACAAAAAAGACTTGCAGTGAAAGAATCGGATCTAATTTTTGCTTTATGCACATGAACATCGTGAAGAATTATTTAAAAAAATATTTTGGCCGGCTTTAAAAGTACTTTTTGCGTATTTAAAATAAATGACAGAATTGTGTGTGTTTATTGAATATCATCAAATACAAAATGTATCACAATCCGACAAAGGCAAATATATTTTGTTTTTCAAGTTTACTTTGTATATCTAATTTGTATTTAGTTTTAAAAACAAAATATATAGTTCACTTTATAATGTTTATTTAGATAATGAAGTCCTAAAAGCAGATTGTCTTGATTATTTTTATGTGTATTTTAAAATAAATTGTTGGGTTTTTTATTGTATTAAACCGGCAATTAAGTTTTGGAATCGAAATATATAGTAAACTTTATTCATTTTGTTGTCAATTTAGAAATAATCCGTAATATCGAATCCATAGAATGTGTCATGGACATTCTATAAAAATGTACTGTTAAGCTGTTGTCGATAGATAAACCTTGTTTACAATTTTATATTAGTGGCGTTGAGCATTTATTGTATGTCCTCAAGTTTCTTTAATATATAACTTCTTTAATTGACATCATAAACTATTTCTGTTCAATACAATATTAACTTTTTCAGAAAGATATTACAAAATAAATTAGTTCTTGTAAACAATTCTATGTACTTGGATATTAAAACGAATGCGAATTACAAAAATGATAGTTGATTTCATTTAAGTTTCTCTAAAGAACTAGAATTTATGTGTCATTATTTAGCAATATAAATGAACAATTATTGTAAATTTGATACAGCATAAAAAATGACACAAGAAATTGTCATTGTTATACATTTTGTTTGTTATCTGATGTCGTGATTTAATCAAATATAAATACTCATCGTCGTGATTCAGAGAAACGTTGCCCTCATTATTCACGGCGTTATTTGCCTTTCTTTTTTACTTGTATCATATACTTTCTTAATCATAAGACAGACACAAAATGAAAACTATAAATCCAGTCTAAAGTATGTTTATAGAAGAGTATAGTGCAGTTTTTTTTATCGGTATCTCATATTGATTTAAATCGTTTCTGTTCATAACTGACAAGGCAGAAAACTATTTCTCATTATTACAGACAAACATCTCTCCCCAGCAACCGAGTTTAATCAGTCTCGTAGAATTTATTGATTTAGCTTGCAAAGATGCTTGTCACGAATATTTCCTGTAATCTAATTATCTCGTGTATATTTAATTCTACATTCAGGTAAAAACTTACCAATCAAACAGTACTTTTTTCATGCATCAATTTTGTTACACTACTTTCTTTTGCATGGATACAAGATTTCAGGCATTTGTCTTAAGTTCGGGTTTTTCCCACTCCTGCTCCTGAAAGCTCTCTTTTTCTGTATGAAATTAATTGAAAAAAATACTTAATTAAGGTTTTTAGGTTTGTTACTTGCCCCCCATCGTGCTTTTATTTGATTTTATCGTGATGATGTATTTATAATGGCAGTGAATAGAAATACAATACAACAGTCATTGTAAGGGCCGTTAAGGAATGAATACATTTGAAATCGGTGCTATTTGGCGTAAAAAATGTTTGCACTTCTCCATTATATCTCATGAACTGGCTCAATTTAACCGAATTTTTCAGCTATTTGTTTAAAGTTCTAATGCTCTAGCTTGGCTTTCAAGTACATTTATTAAATGGAATAACACATTTATTTCACCTTTGCACACATCAGTATATGTCAGTGAAATTAACATCTAAAAGCGTATAGAGGATATTTGTTTGTTTTGCATGTAAGATTGAAATATAATTTCACTGAGTGAACACCAGATGCAATATTTTCACGAGTGGCGTAGCCACGAGTGAAAATATAATAGCTGGTGTTCACGAATGAAATATATTTCAATCTTATATGTAAAACAAATAAATTTTCTTTTTATTTCATGCTTTTTAAGTGATTTTAAGTATTTTTTACTGATTTTGCCGCGTAACGTCGCGTATTCTCCTTTGTGACGTCATCACATCATGACGTCACATCATCAATTTTGAAATATAGTTCTGTTAGATTTCTCTTATTTTGTTACATTTTAACCATGATTTATGGTGACATCGACTTTCTTTTCTTAAAGAAGCAAAATTTACGTATGTCGGCATTTATTTCTGCCTGTTATTCCATTTAGTTATGATTTTCTTTTCATCCGCATTCAGATATAGTCCGGCTACAGTGAAAATTATATTTTATAAATTTCACTAGTGGTTTATCAGAATATAATCATCTGATATATTACAATAAAACACTGGAAAGCATGAAATAAATACAAATTATTTTGTCATTTCGATCGAAAGTCATTGTTTATAGGCGAAAAGCTCATTATATTTCTTGTTTCTGTCAATGGTTTATTAGGCACGTCAGATTTCATATATTTCTGTTTTGTTATATATGATAGCTAGCTAAGAAAGAACAATATTGGTTTCATATGTCATTGAAACAGTTTGTGCGACTATGACCAGGAATCATCTAGTTCACTACACATAATGCTGGCTACAGAAACAGCAGTTTTAAAAAATAATCAATATTTTAAAAACTTTTCCTTGTAACATGATGTCGGTGCAGAAATTATACATATATAAAAGATGTTTGAGCGTTAAAAATAATGGAACAGTAGAAATTTCAATTTGTTGCTCAGAACAATCTGTTTTGATTATTTACATTGAACTTAAATATCCAGGAAAACGGAAGATATTTAATTCGACCGGTAGACATTATTCTGAAATTACGTTGTGAACTGTTCGTACTCGGGTTTGTTTTGTCGTAACAGAGTACGTTATAAGTTAATGTTCTTTGTTCTACGTCAGGACAACACTTTTTTGTAATGATAAAAAACTTTCCTGCATTTTATAATCATTGAATATAACATAATATGACAGTTTTAAAAATGACGTTCAGTGGGTTTAAATTATTTCAAAAATTAATAACGGAAAAATGATTTAGCAAGTAATATGCATGTATTTTAATTTTCATAATGGACATCAAACAGAAAAGGTTGCCATTTCTTAAAATTTCGAATCTTTTATGCGCAAACTTTCGAAATATAACACACCAACAAACTGTTGAAATTACAAACAACAACATTTTTAAACCAGACAATGAAGCGATGGACATGAATGTTCTTTTGACAAACTGACCAAGCAAATGTTTGGAGTATGTGTCTTTTAAATACTTTGTACAAAACATGTCCGATTGCTATTAAAGGTTGACTACCTCATTTGAATACTTGCTAATCATGTTTCATATCCTGTTTTGGTATAAAATCATGGAAAGGATTGCATGGACCATTCCCAACATGAAATGGGATGAGATAATATCCGTTTTTGACAACACATACCAAGGTGACTTTGAGGTATTAAAAGGCATTGGTTAAAGACATTGGTCCAAGGTTTTATAGATCTCTTTTAAAGCTCTAACTCAGATCTCAAGAATTTGTGAATGTATATTGACCAATGAAAATCACGAAATTCGAGACTGGTCTCAGAAAAATCCCAAGGTCAGTTGTTCGAAAGCACGTATACCTCTTTTCATATATCTAGAATCCTCATAGATAATTCATTGCAAGTCAAATAATCAATGTATTTAGTACATTTCAAATGTTGATAATTTTTCTTTTCTGACCTTTCAATGATACATGTGTAATTTAATGTGACATGAAATAAATGTACGTGTATGTTTATGAGTTTGTCTTTTTACCACGAATGTTTAATTTGTATATTAGAGTACATCCGACCATCTTTGAGGCAATGAAGTATTTTTCAAAGCGGTTTATGTCACTAAACAATATTACTTAGCGACGTACTACATATTGATTTTTAAAGCCACGCGCGTTTTTGTCTTCATCTCATCTTTCATTTGGAGAACCTTGGTTGTATGTGACGGAGCTTGTATATATCATTACAAATGATAGATCATATTGGAAAATTCTCCTTGTTTCAAAGAACCGCATTTGTCGTTTATGACATTTTGGATTATTCAAGTTTTCTAACTATTTGATGGGGGAAATTTGAATTAAAACGTGTGGCCTTCAGCGAATGTGAATATAAACTAGATATTATATGAAAAAATGTTTATTTACAAATGACACTTACATTTTATTGGTTTTGTGTATTGCCTCAATGAATATCGGAGTATCGGCTGTATACATTAGGGGAATTGAAAGCATGAATACTGTTTACATATTAAAGTGTGTATTTTGAAGAGCTAATATTAATAGCTGTGAATAAATGTGTTGGATATTTCTTTAAACAAAAGAAGATTTTACGCTAAGAAATGTAACGGAGAATAGGCAAAAGGTAAGAAGAAAGCTTTTTGATGATAAGATTGATAGACCCAAACTGGTGAGTTTTTTATGATGTGTATAGATACAACAATTTCTCCGCGGTTATGTGATTATATGTGATTGTTTGTGATGGATTGTTTTCACATTGTAAGATTCTCGGAGGAATTATATAAAAAAGAAACCTTGTCTAGCATTAGTTATTCATTGTTGTGTGTGTTTGTGTATAAAATTGATTAGGTAGTATGAACAACTTGGCCGTGAAATAAGAACTAGATTGACGACAGATGGAAACAATATGCGTTAATGATGAGGGGGGATGACAATGTTGGTGACTTTGTATGATATCATATATCATAGATTAAGAATGATATGAAAAAAGATAATGTAAGAATGATAATGTAACAAATAAATACAATAAAAATGGAAATATGATGTTATTTTTATGATTAAATGTAACTGTATTATATATAATATGATGAAAATTAACATGCAATATCGTTTGGAGTGAAGAGTTTATAAATGATTTTTTTTTTATAATGATGAAATATATTTCAATGCAGTGATGATTTTTGTGTGTCATAATAGATAATGTTTTTCGTATAATGAAAATTATAGGTAATGTTATGTAACAAATGATGTGTTCTTCATGATAACAATTTTGTTTACTATATGAATTATGTTTTATAAAAGCAATAAATGCGCAATGAAATTGCATGTGCTGATTATATCTGAGCTATGTAATATGGTTAAAAAAGATTCAAGTGTTAAATAAGTTTTACATTTGCCTTAGAAATGACTATAAACATTTCTTTATTGTGATGCTTCTGAGCGGTTAAGTATACTTAATGGGTTGCAGCAAAAACTATTTGTATTGGAAGGCTATTTATTTATTTGTTTATTTTAAAATATCATTCGTCTTTGAAGGTTTTTAATAACCAGTTATCATTATAGGTAAAAATTACAACAATAATATACACATACTGACTGAATAAGCAACAGTGCAGATGGTTGCATATTAATTGCAGTTACATTGGTTGCCAACGGTATAAGCCGTGTGCTCTGTGTGAGACGGGCTTTACGGACAACAGGTTACGATATACATGTTGCTTGCATTTATTCACGCGTGTGGCTTGCGAAATACAAAAGATTATAATCGTAAATACGCACATTTAAATGTAAAAAGTGTGTTCTGGCCTTTCAAGATTGCATATCATAGTTTGTTCAAGAAATATTTCCTCTCTTTCTCCGAAATAATCGAATAATAAAATGAGTTTTATAAAAGTACACTATCAGTTATATCACCCTTTTAAATTGAACGGTTCACCCTACAGGAAGAAGGACGTAATTAAATTTTATTTAATAAAGTGGTCTCAAATTTTATTACTCTTGGCTTGTATTTTTTTATTAAAAATGGTTTTGAGGTTTTCCTTTTCCTCGGTTTCAATTTTTTCATTTTCTATATGAATTACAGTTGAGAATTGAGCGGCAGGTGAACTGTATTTTAGTCATATTTGTCGGTATTATTTGGATTACGTAACCAGTGTTCTTGAATTTAGTAACGGTTATAACTGTACCATCAGTTACATCTATCCTCTCCAAAGGAAGCAATTGGTAAAAGCGGCGGGGCCCAGATGACATTAGCGATATAATCGCCAACTTAGTCGTCACTTCAAATCATCAATGACAGAAACTTATGTAGTGCTTAGAACTTAAAATGGCAATTCCAAGACCAGTTTAAGGTCTCGTTAAAGAAATGATTAAAACACATTGTTCGCAAAATAAAATGTGGTTAAGTCTATTGTTGTTGACAGTTTCATTAGCCGTTTGGACTACATTTGAAAAAAAATAACAAAATTGTTAGCTGTATTTTTAGCTCACCTGTCACAAAGTGACAGGGTGAGCTTTTGTGATCGCTTTTCGTCCGGCGTCCGTCCGTCCGTCCGTCCGTCGTCCGTCTGTCGTCCGTCGTCCGTCCGTAAACTTTTGCTTTAAATGACATCTCCTCATAAACCGCTGAGCCAATTTCATCCAAACTTCACAGGAATGTTCCTTTGGTGGTCACCTTTAAAAATTGTTCAAAGAATTTAATTCTGTGCAGAACTCTGGTTGCCATGGCAACCAAAAGAAAAATCTTTAAATATCTTCTTTTAAACAACCCTAAGAGCTAGAGCTTAGATATTTGGCATGAAACATCTTCTAGTAAGTGTCTACCAAGTTTGTTCAAATAAAAGCCCTGGGGTCAAAATTGGCCCCGCCCCAGGGGGTCATAGATTTTCCCTATATGCATATAGTAAAAACTTAAAAAATCTTCTTTTAAAGAACCCAAAGAGCTAGAGCTAAGATATTTGGCATGAAACATCTTCTAGTGAGTGTCTACCAAGTTTGTTCAAATAAAAGCCCTGGGGTCAAAATTGGCCCCGCCCCAGGGGGTCATTGATTTTCCCTATATGCATATAGTAAAAACTTAAAAAATCTTCTTTTAAAGAACTGTAACAGCTAGAGCTTAGATATATGGCATGAAACATCTTCTAGTGACTGTCTACCAAGTTTGTTCAAATAAAAGCCCTGGGGTCAAAATTGGCCCTGCCCGGGGGTCATTGATTTTCCCTATATGCATATAGTAAAAACTTAAAAAAATCTTCTTTTAAAGAACCGTTAGAGCTAGAGCTTAGATATTAAGCATGAAACATCTTCTTATGAATGTCTACCAAGTTTGTTCAAATAAAAGCCCTGGGGTCAAAATTGGCCCCGCCCCAGGGGGTCATTGATTTTCCCTATATGCATATAGTAAAAACTTAAAAAATCTTCTTTTAAAGAACCCAAAGAGCTAGAGCTAAGATATTTAGCATGAAACATGTTCTAATGGGTGTCTACCAAGTATGTTCAAATAAAAGCCCCGGGGTCAAAACTGGCCCGCCCCGGGGGTCATTGATTTTCCTTATATGTGTATAGGAAAAACTTAAAAATCTTCTTTGAAAAAAACCCAAATAGCTAGAGTTTAGATATTAAGCATGAAACATCTTTAAGTAAATATCTACAAAAGTTGTTCAAATAAAAGTCCGGGGGTCAAAACTGGCCCTGCCCCAGGGGTGTCATTGTTTTTAACTATATGTGTATAGTAAAAGCTTAAAAAATCTTCTTTTAAAAAACCCAATGAGCAAGAAACATGAAACATCTTCTTATGGGTGTCTACCAAGTCTGTTCAAATAAACAAATAAAAGCCCTTGGGTAAAATTGGCCCGGGGGGGGGGGCTATATACAGGTGAGCGACCTCAGGGCCATCATGGCCCTCTTGTTTATTATTTTAAACGTGATTTCCAAAACAAAAGTGAAAATTATTTTAACTGATTTCTAACAGCTATAAGATCGGTATAAGTTGCATGGGGACTGAAATATCGGACATAATTTGTTTTTGGAAATAATTTATACATTTCGTAAAATAGTAAGAACGGGAACCGAAGATACTTTCAATTATATATCGTCAATCAATACGATAAAAATTAAATTAAACTAATACACAATGAATGATAAAAGCTGTTACTGGTCTCACGTTTTTTATAATGAATATATTACAGAAACTTTATTCATAAATTGATTAATATTAAGGACACATATGTGGTTATAATTCTCATCTTTACAACGTGACATTTGTATAATCATAAAACAATAAGTCAAATACATCAATTTATAAGAAAACTATATGAATATTTCAAAACGTAAATTTGTATATTTTCAGATGTACAATGCAAACTTTGCCGACGGCAGAACATTCCAGCAATGGCCGTCACAACAACAGCAGCAACAGCAGCAGCAGCAACAACAACATCCACCAGTCGCTCCCCAACATCTCCAACAACATCCACAACAACATCCACAACAGCAACCAATATCTCGTCAACTACAACAGCAAAAAAGTTCGTCTATAACATCTGATCGGTAAGTTACGATTAGAATTAATTAATTTATCAAATATGTAAGTATACACACATACGTTTATATTAATGATATCTCTAAAAAGTTTGTTTTGTTTATATTAATGATTTCTCTAAAAAATTGTGTTTCATAAAAAATAATAAATTGACGGATAAGGAGTGTGTAATTTAATCACCTATCTGTTGAAATTTTGGTTACTTTTCTATGTCATCCAATCTTGTCTGCACACATTGAACTGTTCCTAGTCAATCAGACATAGTTCATTTTATGAAAATATTCAATGGTTTTGTCCAGATTGAAGATAGACAAGTTCATTTAAGATATTCAGTGTGTTTTTTATTTGTTCAGATATTGTTTTATCTTCTGATCAGACATCATGTATGTCTTAAGGGTATTTTTTTACATTGAAAGTAACGGTTCATAGATCATTGGCCGCTGATATTTTGTTTTGACGTATCTATTGCCTAAGATCATATAAACAATATACAAATACAAATATAAAATAAATAAATAAAATAAAAATATAGGGTAAGTCATTAAAAGGATTTGAGAAATAAATCAAGCAAACTAATTCGTAGATTATTCGTAATAATCCCTGTCAATTCAGAAAACAAGTAAATATAGATGGAGTGACTACTTACCATCTCTTTCAGTTTAGTAGCAATCAAAGATAAAGAAACCGAATTAACGATATTACGTAAAACGGATTGGATGTTTGGAAATAATTGTGATTTTGGTGCCAAGTTCAGAACTAGTATCAAAATCGTGCCTGAACAGATTTTAAATAGCCAGCCAATCTAGCACGTTAATGTAAAAATTCATGCAAAGAACATGAAAATTCAATTCCTGAGAAGTAACGCTGGATATGTATGTGTATTACGCACGAACAGCCAATCGATTGATGTAGAACTTTTGCGTGAAACACGCTTTATTGAATGATTATGTTTTATATCTTTTTGCATGACATCGTACACAGCTTCTTCGAAATAAGACCTCACAATTAAAGATTGTAATATGCCGTAGGCCAATCTAAGTGATTATCCTTAAATTTATTCGAGCATGGGTATGTGGTATTATTTTTTAAAGATCTCATCATGTTACTAATGTAAAATCGAATGAAATCTTTGTTAGTACAACATGTAACAGGAAATAGCGTTCCATGAAAAGTTTCCCTGATGACTAAAACTCATGAAATATTGATACTTGCTGATTAAAACTAGTTAAATTTATAGATTTGTGTCACGTAAGTTAACTGGGATGTATTTTCTTCTGACATTTGGTAGCTGTTTTTAACTTCATATGACTTATACGGACTTATTTATTGTAATAACAGATAATTTCAATACTTTACTTAATCTTATTCCAGTTATTTATTTATTAAAACTGATATATTAATCATTGAAGTGCGACTTTTTAGGCAATAACTAACATTTGTGATTAATCAGTTGGCCTAAACATAAACCTTTTGTTCAATTTGATATTTTCAAAACACTGATATTATACATATGTTGTTTCTTTTGACTAATCTTTGCTTTTCGACGCGTTGCGATTCGTCGTGAGGCAAAAAGTGAAGAAGTCGAACCCTGAGCATTTATAGTATATAATCATGAGAAAGTATTTTTTTAACTCAACCGGTTGCATCATTCTTATGACAAAACAAGTTGGGTGTTAACACAAAGTAATGATAACTTATTACTTATAGTTGTGTATAAAATAAATTCATTCTGTTTTTCAAACATAATGGTTGTTAATTTCAATTACAGGCAGTAGCATTTAACAATTAAGATTTCACTTACATTTTAACGTTTATTAGTGCATACATTGTCGATTTTCATCCTTAAACGTTTGCCTTTTGCATTCTTAAAAAAAGGATTTTGGATAAATTGTCCATTTGCATAACAAATTGAATACATTAAAGCGTGTAATATGGGATAATTTTGTTAATTAAAAAAAAAAATTCTCATTTTTATTACATTCAAATTAGAAAATTTTATTTCTGATTCTTATTAAGTTTTTCCCCTCATAAGATACTATTTGTTGTTGAACTTTTGAAGTCCGCTAACGTTAGTTGCAGTCTGCAATTTGTATTGTTCATATTTTGTTATTTTGCTTTGTGGTTAATTTTTTCGCATCAAAACGACACAACCCGTATTGCATAGCCGATATACATTCCTCTTATACAATTTTCTTTTCTCATTGTTTTAACTTTATTTGGTTACATAAATAAAGAAATAGATACATGTAAATAAATAAATAAATAAATAAATAAATAAATAAAAGCATGAAAGAAAGAAAGAAAGAAAGAATGAATGAATGAATGAATGAATGAATGAATGAATGAATAAATAAATAAATAAATAAATAAATAAATGAATAAATAATGAATAAATGAAAAGAATGAATTATGAAAAAATAAATAAAACGTTGATATTTTCAACGTTAAGGTTTACAGTATATGTTATTGAAATTATTCTTAAATTAGATATGTTTTTTCCCAACGTTAATTAATAAAAAAAAAACAAAAACAAATCAATCTTGACCAGACATATCATCATAAAAGACCTAACCACTTCCTTGTATTGATTTTACCGACTGGTATTCAAGGATGTAGTTCATTTTTTGGTTAAGTTTTTTTTTTATTTGATGAGATCTATAGTTGATGTATCATGTAATGCCTGAGGTCTGATGTTTTCCCTCTTTGAAATTGGAAACGAAGGCACAGAAGAGGACAAATCAAATATATCGTATGAAGATACGCTTAAGTAGTTGTGATGTAAAATTGTTTTATTTTCTATTTATATATTTTATACCTATTTATTTAGTATTAATTCATGTAATTTCCTTTGCAGGATTTGGGTAGATACATCGAACGAGGACGAAACAATGCATCAAATGTCAGTATTTAAAACTTCAAATAAGAGTCATTTAACTCCCCCATTAGATCTCTCAGAGGGACGTCGACACGTGGAGAGTCCACTTGATTTATCAGTCAAAACAAGGAAACGATGCGCAGATACTACCGAATATGGCGAAATTTCAAGACACAATATACTCTCCGAAGCTAATATGGCTAAACGTCTTTGCGTGACACGAGACTATGCTTACCCTCAGGGACATCCCAATTTCAACAAGGAAACCTTTCCCGAAAAGACATTCCAAGGGGATTCTATATCAAGAAATAAAATGATACAGCAGAAACAACTTGCTATGAGCAAATTTCCAAATACAATGCACAAAGGCAGTTCTCAAGTCAGTCCGTCAGCACTTGCCCAACAACAATATGTCGACATTCAACGACAGCATATGAATCAACAGTCCAAACTTAATTTGGCTCAAAGCCAGAAGCTTAGAACTGTTCAGTACAGTATGGGAAATATAGCCCCATCGCAACAAGTGCATTCAGGAATACAACAGAAAAGTCATGTGCCATATGAAACAGTAGCATCAACGGTAAAGAGAACCCAGCAAAGCATGACAGAATCTGTTGCTCTAAAGGGTTTCTTCGAACCGACTCATAAAGTCACCGTTAACGCTGGAAGCACTCAGCAAACATCTCACTTGCCACAACAATCGGTTTATCAAAGACCTCCAGCAGAGCAACGAATTGTTGGACCAACAAATAGACATTTATCAGGGAAATCAAGCGAACATGGTGAATACGACGAACGTAGCCGTCAAATGCCATTTCCGAACACAACAATGTATCAAAGACAAGGTTCAGAAATAAACAGAAATTTCAGCGGTCAGTCAAGTACAGCGAGTGAAAGAGAATTGATTCAACAAAAAACGATACAATATCAGAGGCAACTGCAAGTGCAAAAGTCTCGGGACCAGATTGCCATGTTGTCACAAAAGATGATGCTAACGCCTCAAGATCATCAGCATCAGAAAATGGCATACTTAATGGACATGCAAAAACAGAATGAAAGCCGCGTTTCTCAATCTCAGTCAGCAGCGCAAGCAATGTACGGAAGTCGAGCGCAACACTCACCGTATGCCCAATCTAGACAGCCGGCCTCTGCAACGGCGTCTTATCAGGACAGTTTGAGGAAAGACAGAAGCGATTTTTCTTCTTCGCCACGTTGTATTCGGGTGGGCCAACCTGTACCGTTGTCAGACATTCACCAAGAGCACTCGCATGCTCTCGAACAGGTACATGCCGTGCAAAATCGTCCAGAAATAATTGCCCAACAACAGCTTGTGGCAGAGGCAAGTAAACTCCGCAGAAGTACTGCAGAAATATCTTACACAAATCAACAAGCTATGTTAAACGCAGCAAGGATGCAACATACAATCCGCTATGAGCCTACTGGTATGAGGTATGGCATTCCTAAAGATGCCAATGAAAGCTCGGCCAATTATATCGTAAGAAATGATCAGAACAAAGCATCAATAGCAATGCATCATCCAAGTGTTATACAGAGACCACAAGGCTTTATTCCGCCAAGAATATTTCGAGGCGGTGCTCGGGCACAAGAGCCAACTACTCAAAGAGTAACAAACGAGTCACAGCAACAGATTCCTCGCTATGATTATAACAGTGACCAAACATACAGAACTCGGCAAGAAATAGTTGGTACTAGGGAAAGGCCATATGCTCAGAAACATGACATGCTTTCTGGAAAAGAAGTCATGAAAATACAACAAAGAGTCGCAGAACAAAGAGGAGACGTTGGTTTAGGTGGCAATTGTGGGCATAATAAAATTTTTCCAAAAACAGTCCAGCACAGGGACACAAATGACCATGCACAAAATGCATTAACTGGGCCATCAAATAAAAGTTCAGGCAGACGAAGGTCTTTACAAGATCAGCAGAGCCGCGAAAATATTCCATCTGATTTTTCTCGGGGTGTGTCCTGTGATGGCCGCGAAAGAAGTCATAGCATTTCAAAAAATGCTGGAAGCTTTAGTCCTAATTTAGGGGCTAACACTCAAAAGAATGATGCTAGTGTAAATGAACGTCAAATGATCTCATTAAAGACTTGTCCTAGTGAGAGGTCTATAACTAAAGGAACAAGTGGACTTACCAAAGGTTCATCCAATATGGACCCTTTTAGTCAGTACTTAATGCGGGAACTTAAAAAGACAGACGATGACAAATCTGTAAATCCATTCGCAAATAGATCTCTTTTAGACGAATTTGATAGATCAGCAAATTCCTCTCCTGTTGATAAAACTAAAAGTGCTCAAGTAGACCAGTTTGAAAAGTTAGACCTTGTCGAAAGGTCTAAAGCAAGTAGCATTAAGGAAATGTCGAAAGTTGACACTAATATAAGTGATAAGGAAGACACATCATATACTTTACCATTACAAATAGCCATACCAGGACATAAAGCAGAAACTTCTTCATCGGCAACAGTAGCATCGTCATGTTTAACATCATCAGTTACAACATCATCATCAATAGCAACAGCACGATCGAGTGTAATAGCGAGTTCAAAATCTGATACAAATGTTTCTAAGAATCCAAAACTTATGTCGCGAAAACATATGATATTAAGTGCTTTCCGCCAAGAAGAAGAGGATCTAAAAAACACAAATAACACTGTAAATATTGATCAGAATGAAAAAGTTCCAATGGAAAGTGCTAAATACGCAGCAAGAAAATCGGACAAAGAATCAAATCAGCATGGGTACCCTTCTTCTCCTAAAATGCCTATTCTTAGTCCACAAGAGCGTAATAGAACGACACCACTTGTAAGTCCTGCGGTAGGTGAACCTCCAAATTTGGAAGATTCATCGAAAACAAATCAAGGGAACGATTCTTCAAAAAAGGAAATAAATAGTTTGGAAGAACATTTACATAGACTAATATCAGACGCTGTAAAGGGCTCGGTTAACAAAGACAAAGAGTCCGTTTATGAATCTGTACGTAGGGAACTTAGCTCCCAGCCGCAAAGTAAAGTATTCTTATCAAGGCAATTATCGCAAACAAAAAACATTCCTGTTGCAAATGTTGCCCCAATAGTTCACGGTAAAGCGATATCAGATGCTCTCGAAGGACGTGATAAAACTTTAACAGGTAAATTCGATGATGACTTTGATGAAGAAGATGATAAAATGGCAGATATAGTAACGAGATCTCTATTTGGGGACCAAGGAATTTTTAGTAAAGAATTAAAACGTGAAAATGACGAGTCTATATCAACGCAACAGGACAATGAAGCAGAAAGATCTGATTCCAATATAAGTTTACCGTCGTTCAATGCAGAAACGTTGTATGATGAAAATAGTAATTCCAAACGTATGTCGCCTGGTCTGAAGAAGCTTATGTTATATAGACACAGAGATACAACTAATAGCAGCAGTGAGAAAAACAGCGAAACAATTTCAAATATAAACATAAAGAGTAAAAGTTGGCCAGCTATGGTTAAGAATGAATCTTCGCTTCATTGCGAGAAACAAGTTAAACATCAGAAAGGTAAAGGACGAAACGTATTTGGCGCATTTAGTGAAATAGTAGGGCAACAGTCTAATTCTGAACTGAACCCTAGCGAATCTGCAAATGATAATGCTACGGATATCCAAGGTACCACGGAAAAAGCAATGCAGTGGACAAAGTTTTACCAAGACGAATCAGACCGTCGAGATATTATTATGGTAAGACACTTGAAATGTTTGTCAAAATTTTTTCTTGAATTACCTTTGTAGAACTTTAGAATACGGCGTCTTGCGTGGATTCCGAATTAATGCAGATGAGCTGGTAAAATATTGTTTATATGTGTTTACTTAATTCTTTTGATATTTTCTGCCTATTTTTTGTAAAATTATGATGACTGTAGCCGCAAGTGATGATCATGATGACTGGTTCATAGTTACCAGTGATTTTTTTCAGATTGTTTATCAATTTTATTTTTTTCTTAATTAATATTTATGTATCTTTTCAACTTTAGGTGTCTAATACTGATTATGACGGTGACGACGAACAGGTCCGGGACAGTTTATTGCAAAGAAAGAACAAACATTCGAACACAAAACAGCAGGTATGTTCTGAAAATACTTTGGTTTTGAAATTTTCTTTATTGCAAATTAAATGTTTGTTCTGGTTGATGTTAATAGATAGAAACTATACAAATCATTGTTAGATTCGTGAAAACTATGTTATTGTGTATAACAATTTCATAGTTTAATTTTGTTTTTTCAAATAAGTGGAAATTATTAGATATACCGGTAAAATTATTTCCATCTTTACGGAGAGATAGTGGTAAGATGATATTGTTTCACTTTGCATAATTCTGATGTTCAACAAGCGTGTCCCGAGATATAACGCACGTTGTATGAATAATTCAAATTCTGGTGAAAATTGACTTCAAATGACTAACATGCACGCAGACATGCATCTGAAATATCCTGGAAAGCATTGAACCTAATTTCTAGTTTCAACAATTCAAGAATCGATAGTTAAATTCCCCATTTAATGATACAGAAAAACGGTTGGAAAAATAACTCAATTAGCAAAACACGAAACACGACTGAATAATTCTGTTGATTTTATTATTCAATTACTGATGCTTCGTTCTAGCCATGAGTTGAATATTTTATATATAGATATGTTGATCGTGACCGATGTTCATGAATTAATATGACAATAATTTTACGAGAAAGACATTTCCTAATGTGTGCTCATTGATACGACCAGAATCTATTACAGCATAAAATTTGTTTATAAGATAGCAATGGAGAAGCAGACTCACTTTATCATAAACTGCAAACTGCCTATTCAATTGATTGTGTATGTGTTATTGTTATTTCTCCGAATTGCCCATGTGTGAAATTACAGTACACAGTACAGCATCACTGTACCATGTATTGCAAGCTTAAACAATCAGCTTCCATCTTTTGTTTGCGATGGTAGGAAGGTGTGATTCTTGTCTTTGTCTGTCTCAAATGTATCCTAAAGGCACAACATAATTAAATGATTTCCTCTGAAAATTGTGATATAATCACTGCTAAGTAATCAAATTACAAAGTCTTTTATTGAACTAGTGAATGTAGTAAAGCGTTACATTTATAACCTTTCTCAACTGAATTCAGTCATTGATTAAATACATAAAACATTTCGCAAGAAAACTCCAACAACGGCGCAACATTTTTAATATGACGTCAACTTTTAAGTAATAATGGCGTTGATTACGTCATGAACGATTTAATAAAATAATGTTTGTGAATCGTTTACATTAAAAACAAGTAATTTGATTGGTTGAATAGATGAAAGAAAGAAGAATTTGAACTATTTATATATAAGTGATACATCATGACGTAGCAAATTTGACAATGAGCGTCAGTGTGAAGAAAACATATCCAAACAAATACTATCAACTTTTTATTTACTTAAGAATTTTCGTAAATGCTATGAGTATATTTGTGTTTTATTTAGGCTGATCGTTTGATTAAGAAGGCAAGGCATCGCAGGAACAGTAAACAAGAAGGTAGATATTTATAATACGAGCCGCGCCATGACAAAACCATCATAATGTGTTTGCGACCAGCATGTATACAGACCAGCCTGCGCATCCGCGTAGTCTGATCAGGATCCATGCTGTTCGCTTACCAACCCTATTACAAGTACAGAAACTGATAGCGAACATCATGGATCCTGATCAGACGGCGCGGATGCGCATGCTGGTCTGGATCCATGCTGTCACAAACGCACTATGTTGGTTTTGTCGTGACGCGGCTTATATAGATTTGCATGTTTTTGCTTGTCAGATGGTATCCATGCTTTCTTTTTTACCTTTGTCAATCGGCTTACCCATTTGTGGCTTATCCATTGCCTTATTATCGAGTGATTGATTGGTGTAATTTTGAAGTGCTTTTCTGTTGTCACTTTTTTGGTGACCTTTATACTTCTATAGCCTATAGTCAGTAACTTGGTCAAAATTAAGCCCAGCAACAGAAATTTACGCTGTATGCCTTGTCAATCCATTTTGTAGATTTCAATACAACGTGTATAATCAGACATATTGTTTGCCATGACAAAATGATCAATGCAGTGTATAAATATTTCGCTAGTAGCTTTAAGGTGGCCGTTGTTAATAGAAGAAACCGAACCCGAGTGTGTGGTTGTTAATTTCTAGGAAGGATTTCTATATTTTGATAATTGGCGGTCGTTAATGAAAGTAGCCATTTTAAAAAGAGAAATATATATACTATCAAATATCATATTTACTTGGCAATATGGTAACTCGTGGTTTGATGATTAAAGAAATAAAATAATGTTAATTATCTGTGATTTCACTGCAGCATATTAGGTTATGTTTTGTGTTACATTTATTCAATTAATATGAGCGCAAAAACAAATGATATATAACAAATGTGAAAATGGTATATACTTATATATTGTGTCGAGCAATGCAACGTTTCAGGCTGGTCAGATATACTGTTGGCACATGCAAATCCCCTGGTTCAGCAGGTTTATACGTTAACGTAATATATTGAATATTCATTTACATTTAAGACAGTTTAGACATTTATAAAGATCTATTATTGGTCAATCATCATTCTCAATGTCAATCTTTTGAACTATATATCTAGTTAAACGGAAAAAAATGAGCATAATGTCAATTGAAGATATCTTATGAACAATAGTATTAATCATACGACTGTCACGTTTTCCAGAAACCTTTTGATTTATTTCATGAAAAATAATATGATATTTAACAAGGCCATCAAGTATCACTGTTCTCTAGTAAACAACCTGTCAGCCGCATCTGTTACAGGCTCTCCAATAATTAAATAACTGGTGGTAACATCTCCAATCATTGTTTCGTGATTGTTTACAAAATAAAACATTGTATATTTAATAATACAGCTGGATCAAAATCGTTGAATGTCCGTCGTCCGTCCATTTTTAGCTCGTTAACACCCTAGTCGTCACATTTTTGCCCCAATTGATGATTTTCCTAGTTGTTACTCCGACGAGTTCAAACATTCGTCATCTTAGATGAAAAACTAGGTCACAGGAGCCAAAAACAGAAAAATTTTGTTAACACTCTAGTGCATACTGTTTCGGTCCAAATATCTAAGTAATTAGTGAGAAAGGTTGTATTTATATTATTTACAACTAAAGTTCGAGAATAGGTCACCTGGGGTCAAAAACTATTAAAGTTATGATACCAGTTTAAGTTTCATAAACTTTTTATGTCTTTCCATTCATTGCTGACAGTATTAATAGCCTTAATAATCAGGTGAGCAATATCAGGGCCACCATGGCGTTCTTTTTAAGAGACTTGTACTTGTACTTAAGGGTTTTTACAACTTTGAAGAAAAAACACAAAAATACACTTACAAACTACTTCCTTAATATAAATTAAAAAATACAAGGTTTTTCGTGAGATCATAAAGTTAGAAAGGCAACTGTATTTGTATAACTGATTATATTGTCTTACACCGAATATTCTTCATAGGGACTTTAGTTTTTTTTGGAAATTCGTATATTTGTTCTTTACGACATACTCCACCATAGTTGGTTAATATTTTTCGTCATAATATATTTCCCCTTACTATTATATTTATACTTATATTTTGTTCTTTTTACATTTTTTCCCTTACGATTGGTTTGTTTTGGGTATATTTTGTTCTTTATAAGATATTTTCCTTTATTAGTGATTCGCTTCTTTATAAGATATCTAAACCATATATGTTATCTTTGTAAGATATTCCAATGATTTTGTTTGGCTATATTTTGTTCTATATATAAGCTTCCCCCTCTTGGTTCGGCTAAAAGTTATTGACTTCAATGGGATATCTTTCCTACAAATATTTTATAACGTATCACAACACCCGAAAATATATCCGACAAACCGTTCCTACCTAGCTGAGATTCTTTCACATTCAACGAACTTAGTTGGAAAAGGTGATAATTGTTTATGTTGGAATATTGAACAATAGAAAGGAACGCAAATAAAAGGCTTGTTCCCAAAACAGGATATTTTGTTTCATTAGTTTCACCTTTTTGATAAGGATATAATTTTTTCACCTTTTATTTGATAGAGCACATTTAAGGGAAAGGAAATGGGCTGCTGTACGTAATTTTTTTACTATCAAACTCGCAACTTGAAAATGCTTAAAACAGCATTTGAGAACAACATTTTTTATATAAACTGATGTTGTAAGGAAACAGTTTACACCCCATTCATTGACACATATTTTCTTTAGTTTACTGATCAAACTTTTCCTTAAACAACTTTTGCGTAGAAGGATTTCATAATATTTTCGAGTGCTTTCATTTCATTTTTTCAGTGTTTTTAATTGTACTTGGGTATCTTTTAGTTTTATGCATGTTATCTGTTGTTACTAGGCGACCTTCGTTCCCGGCATGCCTTACACGTGAAGCGGAAGTCACACAGGGGTTTTGTGGATTTTATGCCACAGGTTTTGTCTCGGAGAACTCGATCAAAGTCTTCAGGTAAGAAAAAGGATAAAATGACGTGATTGCTATTGACGTCATTGTGTCAAACGAATTAAACAAGTAGATAAACCTCTGGATGGTGTTGTTTCTCATACGAAAATAAACATAAAAAAACCCTAGAATGGTATTTGGATATGTACTCTTACAAAGTATTCTGAATCTGCTCTTCTTTATTCGAGGCATTAATCAGAATCAGCGTGAATTTGTTTCTATTAAAAGAATTTTTAAACAAATGGTGACCCCCCCCCCCCAAAAAAAAAAAAAACCAAAAAAAACCCGTCAAAATAGTTTCAATATCATAAGAATAGATATAATATTATAAAAAGACAGTTATAATACCATGAAAATTCTTATCATATCGTCGGGTTTAAAACGCAAAGGAACATTACGCTTATTCTTATAAAAAATTCATTTCCTTAATGGAAGTTCACATGAAAGAAAATTTTGCAATTTGATATTGGATAGTTAAACGGAATCTATAATTAGACACATGAATCCAATCTGATAAATTAAATGTAATTTAAAAGACGACGGCTAGATTATGTAATTCAAAATGAATGTAAATGGAAGATTCTTGAAGGTGGTTTCAATTATATAAATTTGATTTTACAATTTATGGGAAAAGCATCGGATTTATAATGCAAAATTTCTCCTTGACATTTCATCTCGGGCATTTGTCTTTTACCGCTGATTCTAAAAAAAATGCCGGATAGGTAGTCGTTCACTACAGTAGTATAGACATGGGTAGTTACTGGTTAGTTATCCAGGAAAACCTGTTATGTGGACAGACCGCCGACTTGTTGTAATCGCCATTAACATCAGACAAACAAAATTACAAAATTTGATTGCTCGGTGGTCCATAAGTTCTTACTGTCAACTTCGTCTTTTTTATAAATTGCTAGATTACACATTTTCTGTCATAAGTTTATGTTGATTGTAAAAAAACAACATTTCATGATTTGTAGTAAAGACACGTACACACAGAATTATGTACAGATACATATTCACATAATAAAATATACAAGGTCTGAATTTAAAACAAGGTCTGTAATAAAAGAATCAAAAATGTCCTCTCACATTATTGTAGGGGAAAAAGGCAAAATAACTTTTCTTACCTTTTCTTTCGGTTATAACAATAAAACTGGTTTTTATCCGTTTTTATTCCTCCTTATATGCTTAAAGAAATCGAAATATTTCAATGCATTGAAAATTGTCTTTCCCCTCTAAATGTTAGGTTAACCAGTATTTGGACAATGTATTTATAAAATCATTGTTATTTTTTAAGCGTCTACATCACATAGACGGAAAGCAAAAACTAGCAGTCCAACTCGCAGACACAGCCGGCGTTCTTCAAGCCAAGACACGAATCGCGCTGGTGCCCCTCAAAAGACAAGACAACGACGGGCTAGCTCACTCGACCGGGAAACAAAATCAAAACTCTCTAAATTGAAAACAAAACAAACATGCTTTTCGGATAACGAACTGGAATCGGATAAAACATTCAAGCGTGGTTCTAGTTTACATGACACCCCAGTAGATTCTGATGCCACTTGGCACAATGAGGATGAAAGCACGGACGAAGACTATTTTCAAAATTATGAAGATGAATTTAAACAGTTTATACGTAAAGGTGATGATAGTCTTAGATTTAAAAAAGCGCCGGCAGCGAAAAAGAAGAAAGGATTTCATTTTAAACAAAAATACATCTTTCAAAGGAAACGAAGAAATAACAAAGGCAGAGGAAGGGGGTTCGATACAAATTCTAGATTTGGTGCCCGTTTAGATGCTATCTACAGTTTTCATGAAGAGGTAAAGTATTATACTTGGCATATATTATATTCACTTCCTAGACACGTTTTTCAAATAGCCTTATTAAACACGTTTCATTTAGGGTTTTTATCTTTGATGAGTAGTATCAAGAATAATTATGAGAAATATATGAGTAATGTTTGTTATGTTTTTACATGAAATTTGTTAATTTAACAACCGCAACAGGTGTCGAAATTTGAGTTTTGAATTCTGTTTAAGATCTCAGGATTTTCATTGGTCAGTGTACATTCTGTGGCAGGTCCTGACCAATTAAATTCCTGAGATCTGAGTGTTTGAGCCTTGAAAAATTTTATAACCTCGAACCCAGGTATTTTATACATTTAAAAACATTATGTGTAGTTCAGTTTTTAAACTATCTTACTTCTATCGTTATTTCGTTAATCGTCTTTATATTTTTGTAGTAACCACACTTTATACGTTTTGTAGAATTTATACGTCAGATATATTTGCTTTTAAAGATTTATACCTAAACATTTGACATTTACTTTAACAGAGTCAAGATCTGGGACAATTCCAGGATCCTTCAGGAGACTTGTACCCACATTGCAACATTCCTCCTCCTGCAGATCTAAAACGCGTCACTGTCGGTAAAGATTCCGGACAAACAGTTCTACATAGAGCGACGAGAATGGGCCTGGAGGTATAATATGTTTTATCTTATATAGAAATATCAGCCATGGAATGAAACCTAAAATATTTTCTTAAAATGTAGTTTGTAACCACAGCATATTATTTGATGGTATATGTTGCATCTGTTTATTCAAATTGATTAAATGAAAGTCTTCGTCATAAACCATGCATTTAATGTACCGTTTCATCATAATTGCTTTCGTTTCTATAAAGGATGACGATCAAAATTCGTTGACTTGTCAATTTTTTTTGGTTCTGAAAAGAAAATGTTGAAAATATGAAAAGGAAGTCATTTGACTGACTTCTTATAAATATTAGATCATAGCTTTGCGACGTTTTAATAGGTATGCGTTTAGCTTTGACTTTTGAATGTTAACTTGTAACAACTTTGTATCTTTGTTTGTCCATTAGTTTTTCATTTAATATTTATTTCATAACAATATGCATATCTTAGAGTAGACACTTACGTTCGTCTATAAAACAAAACTACAAAGCTTGTGAGACCTTTGGAACCTTTATGAGAGTCTTGTTTATAACCATCTGGTATAAACTGGTTCCGCTAGTTTTTAAGATTAAGTTGAACAATTTATTAAAATAATTTTAAATTGCACAGTTTTTGTAAACTTGTTAAACTCGTGTAAAATTTGTATTTTCTGTCTTGATTAATGATCTCGTTCATGAATAATTTTGCCCCCATCCAATTTACATCATTTCAAGATCAGACTTTCTCAGTATTTATTCTGCCTTAATGGTGTATAAAATCTGCATTGCAAATAATTTTGATTGAATCACAATTTGTCATATTAGGATACGAAGCGTGAGTATCAAAACCTTAATCAAATTCGGGATGATTTTGTCTCTTTGGTTTGAATAAAGTACATCAAACCATTTATTGATAAAATTTAGCGACGAAGATATGAATTGTTTCTTACGCCGACACCGTTCTAGAAAATATCTTATATAAAAAGGCCCTAAAGTACTAAATCATCGATTGAACTATGAGAGGTTAACCTCAAAACAGTTTGTATCCACTACTCATCATTTGAAAAGGTTATCTGTGGGAAGTCGATTAGTCTAGGAAGCATTCCAAACAATTGATGGGAATATTTCACATGAAGACACGCGCCAACAAATAATCTGATGTTGTTTTTTTTGTCTTGAGATATGTATCTGGTTTAAGTGCACTTATTATAACATTTTATCATGAGATGAATACCTATGTTTTACAAATAAATACAAGCATATAAAATAACTTTTGCGTACTTTTGGGTGGAAGAAGGCTTGTTTGATCTATTTTTGATGATTTTGAATTAGTCGTAATAAAAATAAAGCAAAAATACACTTATTACATAAATGTAAATAGTTATGAATTAATATAAAACATTTTTTAAAGTTTTTTAAGAGATGGTATAGATAAATGCGCGTACAATAATAGCAACTTAATAACTTTGTTCTTTTATTTGGCTCGCAGTGCTTTAAGTTAGACTAAATTAAATTAAATTGCACCAAAGCAATTTGTATAAAACAGCGCAAGAAAATTGTTTTACTTGAATGATGTTTGACGTATAAAATGGAGTCATATTACTATTTTACTGGATTTGATGAAATGTCATACATTAGTTCTTTTTAGAAGAAATGAAAATCTAATTTTTTTTCATCGCATATTCTTACTGTTATCAAATTGTTTTTGTTTTGCATTACAGGAAGTGGTTTTATACTGCTTAGCAACGGGTTCCGTTGATGTGAATGCGCGTGACAATGCTGGATACACGGCTTTACATGAGTGCGCATTGCGAGGCCGGGTTCAAATTGGCAAGCACCTTCTGACGTATGGCGCTGACGTCAATTGTTGTTCTACTGACGGAATCAGGTAAATATTAACACTTTATTACTGGGTTATTTAATTTTATCTTTATCATTGCCGTAATGATCTGAATATTGATAACAACTTTTACGCCAGTATTAGTTCAACCACACACTGTGCGTGTTCATATTTTAAGAGTTTATAAATTTAAAAACTTAAACGTATATTAATTTGCCAAATGCAAGCATTTTGGCAGTGAGAATATATAATATTTTATGCATTACTATTTTGTATTACTATTACATTGTTTGCGGAAATGATGCACTTTCATAATTATTATGCCAAGGACCAGAGTATTTCTTTTATCAGTGTAACGAATGAAAATAGCAAAACTACAATTTTGATTATTAAATAAACAACTTAATGAAATGGTGGTTACTTTACAGACCTATCCATGATGCCGTGGAGAACGACCATCTAGAGATGTTGCGACTTCTTCTATCATACGGTGCTGACCCAACTCTTGCCACATACGCTGGAAGGTCACTGATAAAAATTGCACGCTCAGAACGTATGCTCAAATTTATCAAACGTAAGTCAATCAATCAATCAATCAATCAATCAATCAATCAATGTGTGAATGAATGAATTAATGAATGATGAAAGGAGGGAAGGACGGACAGAATGAATGGATCGATCGATCGATCGATCAATCGATCAATCAATCAATCAACGTATGAATGAATAAATGAATGAATGTATTAATGTATGATGGAAGGAAGGAAGGACGGACAGAACGAATGGATCGATCAATCAATCAATCAATCTAATCTATCAATCAATTTATAAAAATGAAACATTCAGTCAATCGATTTATAATAAATCAATCAATTTAAAGGTTTAGTTATCAAAGAACAAAGAAAGTTGATAAATCAATTACTCGATCAATTCATTTGTCAATAAAAAAGATAGTCGACAATAAAATTAGAAAGGAATGATGTTACATGTATGCCTAGGAACAAAGTAATTGGACGAATTAAATATGCTTTAAGTGTATATTTCTTTAATGTTAAATTCCAGAAATCGTTGACACATTTGAGCTGAGTCACGACAAAACCAACATAATGCGTATGCAACCAGCATGGATCCAGACCAGCCTGCGCATCCGAGCAGTCTGATTAGGATCCATGCTGTTCGCTATCAGTTTCTCTACTTGTAATAGGGTTGGTAAGTGAACAGCATGGATTCTGATCAGACTGCGCGGATGCGCAGGCTGGTCTGGATCCATGCAGGTCGCAAACGCACAATGTTGGTTTTGTCGTGACGCGGCTCATTTTTTTTACTCCTGTATTACAAGACCAAACCAATTTACATTTATGATGTAGATTCTAAATAAAGCAAAATCTTTGCGGTCTTTTTATAAAAGTTATTGATCTTATAAGATTTACTGACGTTACAAAAGAAATAGTGTAGTTTTCTGAAAATTTGTCTTTTGATTGTTTATTAAAAGAAATTTCTGACCACTGTGTTTGTCAACAACATTTATCCATGAAAGCAAAATATCTGTAACACATTGTATCTCTTTATGCCTACGTATTTGATATTTTGTCCATATTTCCTGGAAAATTTCTCTCTTGAATCAAATATTTTTCCTTGGGAGTAGTTTTGTCAATAATATTATGAAAAAAGGAGGAGAGATGAAATATATTTGCTGTGGCATTTAACTGAATTAACTGAATAACAATTAAATTGTGAAAAAAGGAAAAAACAAATAATAATAATAAAAAACATTGACTGATCAAAATATTTATACGCTCAAATACGGAAAGTGGAGGAAAACGCCGAACTTTGTTGAGTCTGTAACATTTATATGTAGGAGTCAATTTTAATGTCGCTAATTCAGAACTGCATCAAAGAATTAGGAAAATCAAACGATTTCAATGGACACAAAAGAAATTGGCCAGTAAGTAATCTTATTGATAACTTAAGTCTTTTGTTTACAGGATACAACTGCGACATCAATGGATACCCAACAGACAATGAGGGAAAACCATGGCAGTTTAAAAGATCCAGTACAGTATTAGGTGAGAATCTTAGTTTTATTCTGACGTCCTTGATACAAATGACGTCATTTAGTTTTTATAAATTATTTTATTTCGCAACATGTTTTTTTCTATAGATCTACTAAGAAATCGTCTATTGTCTTAGAATATATTTTATTGCACTTAATACATTCAATGAATCATTTTCTCAATAGAATTTACCTTTACATTGTAGAAAGTGAAAGCGGAAGCGGATGTGCAATATTTGACAATCTCCCGTCTGACCCTGAAGACGAGTCTCAAGATCTCTGTACATTCAGTTCTAAGCCACTCTTTATAACAAAACGTCTAACTCTAGAACCCACTAAACGGTAAGAATACATTTCTATTGTGAAATAACCAGAAAATCTGATTAGATTGCGTCATACATGACGTCATAACATTTTATTTGAATTATTTGATTATCCATCTATAGACTACTCAGTCAATGGGGGTTTAACTGTTAAGAAATGTGTGTATAACTCGATATAATATTATAAATCTAGGCCGATCAACGTCGGCGAAAAGTTGACAATGTTTTGAGGTCATTTTAATTAATTTTGCAAACAAAATGATTATCGAGTGAATCTATGAGAAGTCAAGAATCTAAAAAAAATATAAAAATGCATGTTTTCCTATTTCAAGTTTTCATTTTGTTTGATTCCAGGGTTGAAGATTATCATTTATTTGATGATGTTTTAGACAGTTTTAATGTGACCCGATCAGAATTCATGTCACAAGGAACTAGTTCTGGTGTTCGACATCTAATCAAGCAATTCCCCATTCAAACACTATTTGACGCTCACCTGGACAGCATTTATTATGAAAATTTTGCTTCTAAAGACGAGAACGACACCATCGAAGTCATAAGAAAAGTAGACTCTACCCAGCTTATAGCTAAGTTAGATAAAGATAGTTCTCCAGCATCCAAACGTGCTAAGGTTCAGTAGACTCAGTGGGATGATATGATGATCTTTATAACAGAGTGCAAGAATTTGTTAAATGACGTCATAAAAATGAAAATGACGTCATAATATTAAAAAAGTCTTAAATATGCTTGAAAGATGTCATGAATTAGATGATTATGACGTTATGATTATATTTTATGTTAAGTTTTGAATTATTTTATAAACGATATGGAGTGGCGTTAACAGACAGTTATCAAAGTGGTTCTTAGTCACATGACGTTGTTGCTTGTAGGCTGCTTATTATATTAAATAGAGGAGGTAAAATGTGTTCATTGACGTATATTGTATTCATCTATCCATCATTGTAATATACAGTATTCCAAAGTCTTTGCTGGTTAAAGACTGTGTTTCCGAAAAGGGGTGTTTCAAAAATAGTCACATGAAGAGTTGTAGATAAAACACTAAAATTATTAAACTTTCACCTCTAGAATTTTTTTTAGTTTTCAGTTATCATTTTCCTTTATTAGATTCTAAAAAGGAATATTTTTAATTTTTCTTTATTACTGATACACATTTTGTACAATATTTTACTTTGAGAAAAAAATCTTCATTTCTATTTTTGTAACACCCTTTTCGTTTATATAAATAATGATATTTGTTTTTTAGTTTTATAGTGGGCCTAATGTTTGAATTGTTGTTTCAATTTTGTGATATGAATGTCCATTGTTCTGCATCCATGAGGTTTCATTTTTTTTTTGTAAATATTTTGTTATGTTTTAAATATCTTTTAAAGATAAGGTGATTTCTATAGTATCAGCGGATATCACCGGATTTCACCGAAATGTAAATGTACATGATCTCTATTTCCGTGTGTTATTGATAGATTATTGAAGGCAAAGTACGCAAAAATATAAAGATTGTGTTGGATTTTAAATACGAAACATCAATAGAAAATGTATGTTTATTATCATCCTCGAAACGTTTTGGAGGAGGAGAAAGTTTTGACGAATTTGTCCTTCCATTTGTCGCACTTTCTGGACATAGCACATTTGCTAAGTGAATAATGTCTTTGATAGTCTGAAGCGCTTGGTGTTTCAGGCCAAGGTCACGGAGGCTAAAAATAGATTTTCCTCCTGTGTCTTATATACATGGCCCGTATTTTAGTTTTTTTAAACGATACCGGGGACGGCAAGAGCATTCAATTGGGTAACAGATATACTAATTTTTCTAATAGAATTTAATGCTTTTAGTTTTTCTTTTTTAAATTGTACTCTATCATACTCAATTTTGTTTAAGTAAAATCGTTTTAAAAACAAATTTTATAGAAAGTGCTTATTTTGTTTAAAAGTTAAATGACAAAAACTGTTTTAGTATTTCAATATTTTTTATTTGAAATAAAACTGCGTGCTTATAAAGCGAAAAAAAAATCTGAATATAAGTATATATTTTTAGCTCACCTGTCACTTTGCGACAGGGTGAGCTTTTGTGATCACTTTTCGTCCGTCGTCCGTCCGTCCGTCCGTCGTCCGTAAACTTTTACTTTAAATGACATCTCCTCATAAACCACTAAGCCAATTTCATCCAAACTTCACAGGAATGTTTCTTTGGTGGTCACCTTTGAAAATTGTTCAAAGAATTAAGTTCCATGCAGAACTCTAGTTGCCATGGCAACCAAAAGAAAAAAACTTTAAATGTCTTCTTCTAAAAAACCCAAAGAGCTAGAGCTTAGATATTTGGCATGACACATCTTCTAGTGAGTGTCTACCAAGTTTGTTCAAATAAAAGCCCTGGGGTCAAAATTGGCTCCGCCCCAGGGGGTCGTTGATTTTTCCTATATGCATATAGTAAAAACTTTAAAATCTTCTTTTAAAGAACCCAAAGAGCTAGAGCTAAGATATGTAGCATGAAACATGTTCTAATGGATGTCTGCCAAGTTTGTTCAAATAAGAGCCCTGGGGTCAAAATTGGCCCCACCCCAGGCGGTCATTGATTTTCCCTATATGAATATAGTAAAAACTTAAAAATCTTCTTTTAAAGAACCCAAAGAGCTAGAGCTAAGATATTTAGCATGAAACATGTTCTAATGGATGTCTACCAAGTTTGTTCAAATAAGAGCCCTGGGGTCAAAATTGGCCCCGCCTCGGGGGGTCATTGATTTTCCCTATATGAATATAGTAAAAACTTAAAAATCTTCTTTTAAAGAGCCCAAAGAGCTAGAGCTAAGATATTTAGCATGAAACATGTTCTAATGGATGTCTACCAAGTTTGTTCAAATAAGAGCCCTGGGGTCAAAATTGGCCCCGCCCCGGGGGATATTGATTTTCCTTTTATGTGTATAGCAAAAACTTAAAAATCTTCATGGAAAAAACCCGAATAGCTAGAGTGTAGAGATTTAGCATGAAACATAATCTAGCGAGTGTCTACAAATATTGTTCAAATAAAAGCCCTGGGGTCAAAACTAGCCCTGCCCGAGGGGTGTCATTGTTTTTAGATATATGTGTAAAGAAAAAACTTAAAAAATCTTCTTTTAAAATACCCAACGAGCTAGACCTTAGATGTTTAGCATGACACATCTTCTAATAAGTGTCTTCCAAGTTTGTTCAAATAAAATCCCTTGGGTTTAAACTGGCCCCGCTCCGGGGGCCAATATACAGGTGAGCGACTTCAGGGCCATCATGGCCCTCTTGTTTAATTTTAGTATTTCAAAGATGTTTGTTTGTTTTATGAATGGAAACATATTCCTTATCATTAAGATGGAAACAGATTTTATTAAAAATGAATGATGAAAGGTTTAATAACAGGCTTGTACATGGGAAATTATACATGTATAAGAATATGGATCTTAAAGGTGTTTATGCTGTATTTTATATATTAAATGTGTATAGAGAGGGATATAAAAACGACAAGAGGGATATTCGAGAGGGATATACGGAAAGTGAGTGGCACAAGAGGGTGTAATGAAAGCAGCATGTCTCCAGATTCATTCAAACTTTCGTAAAATATTGTTAAGTGAACAAAGAAAGAAATTTACACGGTACAAACCGCACTTACAATCCACGTAAATTACAAAAAAGAGGTCAAAAAAAAAGCAAAAATAGCCCTTAATGTGTAAGTTTATTAGAAAATGCAAAAATCTGTCAAAAATCATACATAACATGTTAATCACACTTGAATCTTGTTACTTTTCTTAAAACTTTTGAACACTTTTCTCAAGTTTGATTCTCTTGAAATACTTTTGCTCATCTGGAGGCATGCATCATTCTTTAAGAGGTGTTGAGATACATGAACATTGATATGGAGTATGAGGAAATTAACGGCATTTAATGTTGGCGAATTTTAAAGAAAAATATATACCCCTAACCTCTCTAAATATCTTAAATGGTCATGCCTATCTTTCAATCTGGGCAAAACCTTGAATACTGACAGACTAGCGAAAAGTGCAGGCCATTATCAGAAGGCGCCGATGTGCCGGCTAATAATGGTCAGTACTGGTCTCATATGTATATTAAATCGTCGTCAGGAGAATAAAGGTAAATTGATTTTACTGAAAACTTATACACTGAAAATGTGATCCTTAATAGGCTGAAAGCGCAAAAATACGCATTTGCGGAAATAACTTCATGCGCATGCGTAACACTTATTTTTCTTTCCGCATTTTAGATAAAACATGATTCATATATTATTTCATTATAAATGAGAAAGTGTGCTTTTTGTATCTATAGAATATTTCATTTACTAGTTTTGTCAGTAATGAGTTGTTTCATCCTGTCGTTATCATGAGTGATGTGTAACATCGCAAATAAACATTGATCTTGTACCAGTTGTGTTGTTATTTCATCGATTCATTTTATAAACACATGTCTTCCCACATTGTGACCGGGTGATGCCTGTAAGGGTTGAGGTATCAGAATTGCATGCAGCCGCCGTTTATTTCTGCGATATCGTTAGAGGCGACTAAATGGGTCCGAATTACTGGATTCAATGCATCTCTTAGCTCCAGCAGGTGAACTGGTTCTGACCCTGATGTTGCTTTAAGTTTGTAACACCCGAGGTGAGCCAAACTCATATTTGCTGTTTCGGCGCCATATGATGTAAATTGCGTTGGTGCAACGCAAAACTAAATAAAAAACAGAAATTGACGTATCGACGAAGACCAATGCTCGGCGCAAACACACTGATTTAAAGAATACCAATAAAAATAAAAAGCATATCACTGAAGAAACATATGTCTACTTATTTCATTGAATTCTGTCAATGCCACTTTGGCTGTTTTAGCTCTTTATTGCAATAATGAAACCTAAAAGTTTTTTATTAATTCAGACTTCCTTTTCCTTTAGATTATTCTTAAAGAAATTCTGCACCATAACATAATGACGTGATTTTAACATATTTTATTGCCATAAATAAGACATAAACATATATGTAGACAGTTACAATACAATGACATGACATAATTGGCAAAAGGGTTGACCCACAAGTTCTATCAACATTAGCAATGGGTCTTCCCTGATGCAATAAATTACAATAACATATTTTACAAGAATGACTATCAGTTAAATAGAAGTAACAAAACTCACACATATATAGTACTTGGCTTTAAAAAATGATTTTAGGTAAGAAAGAACAATAAAATGATTGGGTGTACATGTTCTCTAGCTTGAATAGTATTTAACGATGTTAACTGATTTTTATATAATTTGCGTTACAATGACTTAGAAAACATGTACATTTGCCAAATATAACAAAACAAACAGAATGCAAATAGATAAATACATAATGACGTCTGCGTATATAGCCAATCAAATTCTATGAGATTTATTTAAGAACCTGTGCTACATAAAAACAATCCCTAAAAACTGAAAGCTTCCACTGTGGAATATAAGCGAGTATTCTAAATAATTATCAATGGAACATTAAGTTATGACAAAGGAAAACGAGCTATGTTTCGGGAATGCGATTGTTTTTATTATTAAGTCATAACATCTTCAGGAAAGAAACGGCTTTTGTAAAAACTGAGCACTTGATGAAACTCCAAGTCAAATGCTATAAGATTTAAAATAGAGAAAAAAGGAATCTCCAAAGAACACCCAAAACGACAAAATTGAAAATGTTGCAGGCTCGGTCTGATTGAGCTTGTTCGTGGACCGTACTAGAAAGCGCAAGTTACCGTCCACTCCCCCTCCTAGCACCAGCTTAAACAGAATTTAAGATTTAAACATGAAATGGTGAAATTTTGAAAAGAACCACTAGCACCTTTACAATTTGGATATCATCTTGGCTGCGAAGTAAAAGACAATGCCCCATCAGTATTTTAAGAGTTGAACTAATTTGCATTATTGTGATGTCACTCTTGTACGAGATTGAGGGAGGATATAGAACATCTAACAGCAATGAAAACAGTTATGATTAGATATGAAGTCACTTCAAGCATTGAACGCGTTAACAATTAGTTCTGAAACATATACAAGACAAAAAAGACAGTAATGGTTAGATATGAATCATCTGCAAAGGAAGCGGTAAAGGTAAGACAAAAAACCTAATCTACAATATACATGAAATATATATGGTAAAGATAAGGTACGAAACATATACAAGCAAGGAACGCAATTATGGTTAGGTATCTACAAGCAATGGACGCGATAAATATTTATAATGAAACATTCGTTGTTTTTGGTTTGGTTTTACGTTGCACCAACACAGTAGAGGTCATACGGCAAGTTTCCAGCTTTACTAGTGGAGATAAACCTCAAGCGTCCCTCCATGCATTATTTCAGACACGAGCTGGAACCACCTGAGTAGGACCATTGAAGTTCTGTAAGCTAGCTGGATAGCTTCCTTACATAAAAGAATCCAAAGTCCTTGGCGGGATTAGAACCTACAGCAAGGACATGTGGTTTGAAGTCAACGACCGTAACCATTCGGCCACAAACACGAAATAACACATGTAAAAGCAATGGGTCCGGATGCGTTCATAAATGTACATATCCAAAGCTTACCAAAGCTGTACATAATATTATATACGCTTCCAAACAAATGTATATAGCTCACTTGTAAGCTTACATACGGAATAAACTGATGCACCCAACCAAAAGCTACGAAATTTTTGTCCCTATATACGGAAATACACATATAAATATTGCCTTTAATGAATGCACTTTATGTGGCGAAGTCATTCCTATTGCCGCAAAGAGTTTGTCAAAAAATGGGCAATGTACAACACAAAACGCCGTATCTGAACGTTTTGCGGACGTTTGGCGGTATTTCAAAGCATGCAATATTGGCGGTAGATGTTCGATACGTAATATTCACTGACGAGGAACATATGAAATATCTACACATACTTAAGGCAGACAAAAATGATATTAAATGAAATGTTAACATACTGAACATTGCTCAGTCCAGATATGACATATCTACACCCACTTCACGCGGGTGCTTCCAAAATATTTTTAGGTGAATAGTACAGAATTTGTCAAGTACGTTCGGCGAATTTCAGCGAATCTTATACAAATTTACATTGCTATTTGTTGCTTTTTGACATCTAGTTTTGAATAAAAAGATACTAGTTGCAACAAAGAAGATGATGGTTTTAATACGTACATCAAGAATCGTTAACCTTTTAGCCCTCGGTAATATGTAATGCTAGCACAATTAAGTATTTGTTTAATACATGTATCACTAAAGTGTGTTTGATCGGAATTTCTTGATTAAGGGTGATACAAATAGGCCATTTATAACTATTGCGAGGTTGTTTGTAAGAGCAAACATCAATTATAGAATGGCAGATGTCATAACAAACTGAAATTTTGAGCTTCATCTAATTACCCTCGATCAATATAAATGCAAAAGGCGCGTTCCGGAAAACCGTATTTACAAGAAAAAGCAATTTGCAGAGAACCTAGCCAACCATTAAATTTAAATACCTTGATATTGATTTCTACTTACATGGCATATGCATGAACGGACTCATTAATTGAGTAAATCACATGTATAATACACTAATGCAAGCGTGTATAGTTTCGTTTCCTAATTCCCAAAGCGTAAAACAAAAAATTGCTCATAATTAAACTAAGAAAAATAGAGAAAGTTGACAACTTGGACGGTGTCTAAAATGCTCATTTTGGTTTGTTTTTGCTTCCATTCATTTTACAATAATTATTTAATCTTAAAACTTACAACTGACAATTCATTAAAGGATTATTATGTATGACGACTGCTGGATGACAGAAAGAAGGGAAGAAAATGATATCTTATTATCCTTTACTTCATTAAATTCTCTACGATACAATGTAGTTATACTTCACTCCATTAACTACGATCGTATACGTTCATAGTTCACTGATATTTTAAGTTGATACCTGTTTAAACTTCACTCCATTAACTCAATGATACATATAGCAATAACAATAACAACAACAACAACAACAACAACAACAACAAAATGCAGGTACTGGTAAATTTACGCATGGCAACCGGTCAAAACAGTGAGTAACTTTAATTGGGGGCCAACCGTCTATGTAAATTGCCCATTACCGATTTACGATTGTATTGGTAGATGAATTTCAATTATTATCTGAATTTGAAAGAATTCAAATTATCTTAAAGCAGCATGCCTCCAGAGTTATGCCAATTTTCATGAAAATTTTGAAAATGTTTTTATAAGTTAAATATTGTGAAGTAACCAAAAGGAAGCAATTTATATATAACAAACAGCACTCACAACCCATGTAAACTACCAAAATGAGATCAACCTTTTCGGAAATAGCCCATTCTGCGTTAGTAACGCAGTAGAAAAATGCTTATACATACTGAAATATTTATCATTAATCGCATTAAATATGTAAATTCTTACAAAAGTCTTGAATCGTTTTACTTTTCTAAGTCTTAGTACACTTTTCTCAGGTTTAATTTTATTAAAATATTTTTGCTCATCTGGAGGCATGCAGCTTTAATTTGAAAGAATTTCAAATTTATCATAGTATTGGGAGAGATATTAAGTGGGCGAGTTTTAACTACATATCTTTAGTAGGCGTGTTTTCACTTTTTATTTTTATATGAAATTATGACATCTCTTAACATACAAGTACAAAAATGCTGCAATGCAGCAATTGAGAAGCTCCGCGCAAAAAAAAATGCGCTCATTGCAGATACCTTAACAAATCATTCCTGGGCACAGGTCATTTCCTATTAAGATTAAGTAGGCCTACTGGTGTACATTATTAAAGGGCATCCAAGCAAGAAATGCAGCAAATGACGATGACCTTGTAGATATTCTGATGTCCAGATATTCTTATAAACTTTTCAATGGTTAATTGGATTTTACCAGAATATTGTACATGTATATCATAGATGAATGGGCATACGAAAGACATTGTTCATCATGAACTTTGGTAGGCTTGCTAGAGATAAGAATATTAAATGTATTTTCTTTGGAACATACAAAACAGTAGTCAAAATGAACAAAGTCTGTCTTTTTATTATTATAATTGTAACAAATATACAACAAAAATAAAATGGGATGAATTTCAAAAATATCAAATTCAGGATTTTTTTGTTATACGCGTTAACAAAAAGTAATGGTACAATAAATTTGCATGGCATGTAGATATAATGACACATTATTTATCAATGGAAGACTGCTACCTGAATTTTAGACAAATATGAGGAAATTCACTAACATCATGTTCATGCGAATCAAAGATATAAAAGCTACTTGACATTGATTATAAATAAAGAGCTATTGTTAATTCATTTATTGGGAGATCAATCTACTATTTTGTTGAATTGCTTCAAAATCCTCGTCCAGTTTTAACACCT